CCCTGACTTAGATGTCTTCAGCATCCTGGCAGTGAGCAGTGCCCTGCACAACCCTGACTTAGATGTCTTCAGCATCCAGCAGTTCATGAGGGGGGCTGAGGAACACTCTCCCTAAAATGTTTCAAACTTTAGGCCACAGTGTTGCATTTCTGGTTTATGTTGCTTCCCACGATCAAAATATCATTCCCATGGCTCAAATATTTGCAAGTGAAGTGTTAGTTGAATTGTGTGAGGGAAGTGGGTTATTGAGCAGGGCAGCAGCCGATCTGTGTGTGCTCCAAGGGCCAGCTTTTGGGAGGGTGAATCATTTCCTTGCGGTTGTAGTCAGGTTTGTAGTTTGCAGATAATCACAGTGAGCCCGCAACAGTAGCTGCTCTTTAGTGAGGGCCTGCTGTGTGCCAGCACTTTGTAACTTCTTCCTTAGCCTTCAGAGCTGCCTTTCCAGGTGCGGGGCTGCCTTGATAGCATACAGCTCACATACATGAGAAAAGAAGGTTTACAACAGTCTCTTTCCGTGTCACAGTTCACTGGCTCAGAAGTACACTCAGACCTTTAAACCAGGCCAGCTGTCCTCCAAAGCCAGTTTCTGCCACGGACCTCCTTCCTCTTGGTCAGGAGGAAAGTTTTCCTAGGCAAGGATGATGATTGGGGGATGGATGAGGACTCTCAGGAGCTGTGTAGCTGAGTGCCCCCAGCCCCCACCCCGCACCTGTGTGTGAAAGAGGCGCTCGCCTGAGTCTGCTTCTGAGTCTGTTGTGTGAAGTGTGTAGCACTGTCACCATTCACTAAGGAACTGTGATGACCCAAGGCTAGGTTGTCTGGCTGGGGTCAGCATGTCCTCCCAGTGCTTTCTGGTGTTTGTGGGACGTGAGGAAGCATGGCCTTGCTGCCTGTGAATAGAGCCATCCACTCTGGTGGCACTGGCTTTTGTTTGCTTTGCTTTTTGAGACAGGGTTTCTCTTGTACTAGCCCCAGAGGCCTGAAACTCACAGTATATCGCCTAGGCTGGCCTGGGACTGCTGGGATCCTCCTCCTTCCGCCTGTCAAGTGCTGAGATCACAGGCTGGAGCCACCACGTCAGCTGTCCTTCAGGTTTTGATTCGTCCTGTCTGTGAGCATCTCCTGTCAGCTCCCTGCATGGGAAGTGGCTGCCGATCTTGACTGACAAGCATATTTACCTTCTGGAATGTTTCTGGGGACACTTTCTCTGACTTGGCAATTCAGAGGGAATCTTTAAAAACGGACTCTTGAGCTCATCTCCCCCACCCCACAAGAGCAACACAGGTCTGAACATTTGGAACCAGGGCTGCCTCAGAAGCCTCTGAGTTACCAAGTCCTCAGGAAAAACTGCTCCTGAGAAAGTTGTGTTTGTCATTCCGTAGGGATGCTGTTGGGATCTTGGGTTCATTTGCTCATGGAAACCTGTCCCCAGAGTGACAGCTCAGAACTAACAGGGCACAACCTGAGCTCAGCTCTAGACACATTTATTTACTCCTGCTGTTGTTATTGTATATCTATATATGTGTGAGTGTGGGCGTGCACATGCCACGGTGCATGCGTGACAGCCAGAGGACAACTTTCAGGAGTCAGTCCTGTCCTTCCACCTTGGATTTCTACGGGACCAAACTCAGGTCATCAGGCTTTTGGGGCAAGTACTTTCACCTACTGAAGCATCTCACCAGCCCTGAGCCATGCACTGTGTGGATCCGTCATAATCGGATGCCTACATCAGCGGCTTTCTAGAGCAGGAGGGGCAGTGATGATGTGGATGACACACCAGGGCAGAGGCCCTGCACGGGTCAGGGTGGTCTCTGTGTGGCTGACCGTTCCAGTGTGGGGGATCAGGTGGGACTTCTCACTGTTCACTCTTTCATCTCTCCACACCTGTGTCCACACGTCAGCATTGCCAAGCACAACTTCTGACAGGATCTTGTCCTGCTGGGCAGCTGCATAAGCTATTTGCCAAATGATGATAAAAGAAAACTTTCTCCAAGTGAAAGATGTTAAAATGCAGGTTCTAACCAGAGCCTCTTTAATGGGTTAGTTTTGGACATATATTAAACTGCACACAGTGTGGAAGAACAAGATCAGGTAGCATATCTGTAGCTGAAACCTCCCTGAGGAAAGAAAGGTGTTCAAGTGTTTAATGAGAAAGAGACAGGAAGTTACTCCAGCTCATCAAAGAGGCCGGTGTGGTTAGCAGGGCTCAAGCTGGGTTTAAGTCAATCTTGACTAACTAGCAGCTTTGCCTGGCTACGCAGGAATGTGATTCCAGTGTGTGGGAGCCCTGTGACCTGTGGGGGCTCAGTGTGCAGTGGGAAATGGAACCCTCCTGCTTCTGCCCATTCCTGCATCAACCTTGGAAAGATGAAGTGGGTATGGTTTTGTTTTGCCAAGTTTGGAAGCTCAGACTGTGATTTTCTGAAATGCATTCTGTGCACCTGAAGATCTCGTAGAGCTGTAGAGGCCTTCCCGTCCTGCCTCATTTAGCGAAGCCCTTCTTCAGGGCTGGCTGGAGCAGCGCCAGAGTTGAAAAAGCTTAGAGCACTAAGCTTTCCTGTGGTTCCAAGGGTCTGCTTTTGGGTGTTGTCTTCAGGCTACTTCGGTTTGCTGCCATGCCATGCCACGCCACCCAGCTTCACAGACGTGTCTGCTGCGTGCCGCTGGCTGACCTGGAGCCAGGGCTCCCATCTGACCTGCTAGATTAGGGTATGAGGTTGGGAGATTGATTGTGAAGAACATGTCCCAAGCTTTCCTAAGTGGGTCTAGTCCAAAGGACAATAGAGGTGGACTGGTGATGTGTCCACTTAGCAGATAAGAAAACTGAGGCTGCTGGGTTTATAGGTAACACCAGTGGCAGAGTTGAGTTTGAAGTTCTTACCCTGACACCCCTAGCAGCATTTCTAACCCCTCCTGTGGGGGTTGAACTAAATTAGACTTGACACTCACTCTGTTTTTTTCTTCCTTTTCCCCGGACTTCATGCCCTTGGGTTTTTCTTCCCAAAACCAGGTGGCAGGACAGCTTCTCCAGAAAACTGTTCTCTCAAATAGAGCTGAAAGGCTGCCTTGGCCTTTTGTTGCCTTTGTGAATGAAGACATCACTTGCATCTGAGCGTTTTGTTTTTCCCTTGGAGCCACAGTGTTCATGAGACCAGCCTGTTTCCCTTGACCATGTCATGGGGCTGAGAACGAGACAGATCTTAAATTGGTGTGACATGGGGGTCTGTGCCGGTTACTCACTGCACACCCTAGAATGGCCCATTGTGACTTTCAGCTTCTGGGTCACCAATTGCTACTTCTTCCCCTGGGAAAGCAGCGCAGCGATGGGAGTGCAGCCCACCTCCAGGCTGCTGCTGTGCGAGTGAGTAGAGTGAGTAATGCTGTCCGAGGCGGCCCGAGGAAAGAGCTGCTTAATATAGTTGATTACTGCGACCGACCCACCGGTAGGGCGGTAACACCCTTTCTTCTGGTTTCCTCCAGTACCACCAAAGAATTTGAAAGGCGGGAGCCTGAGACCTTTTCCAGTGACCGAGTTCCTGCTTTTTCCAGAGGGTGTGTCAGCCCTCCTGGGGCTCTGCCTGGGGCTGCTAGGTCACTTGTGTTATCCCAGAGATGAATCCCCTTTCCGCCAGTGATTTGGTTCTTACTCGTCATTCAGTGAAGACGCCTGGGCTGGGAAAGGTGCTGTGATCGGCCGGCTTTAGGGATGGGCAATGCTGTTGAAAAACAGAAGCCCCTGAGACAAAGCCATCTGTGCCCTTGGAAACAAGGTAAGAAAGCTCTGCCCCCATTTTATGGAAGCAAGAGGGTGGTCTTATCTGAGACCCTGGCCCAGCTGAATCAGCGTGGGAGCCACCTTCCAGAGCAGAGCCAACTCAGTTTGTGGCCTTTCTAAGGGCTGAAACCCACATCACCTCATAATAGCTGGTGTGGCTGGTGGGTGGGTCAGCTCAGGAGCTTCTGTGTTGACATCGTTCAATTTTTAAGACCTAATTCAAGTCAAGAGTTTTGATATTCAGGATTATTTTGTGATAGTTTGGATGTTTAGTGATAGTTTGGGTGTAAAGAATGTTGTTAAAACTTCTAAGCATGTTTCATCTCCCAAAGATAAATATATACCCATCCTGTTCACCTGTTTTCCCCTCAGTGCTGACCCTGACGCTCAGGCTGCTGGGTCAGCTCTGAGGGGAAGAATGGGGTCCATGTCACTGTTTCAGTAGTGCTGACCCATCAGGCTAGCAGCTGGCCGGTGTGCCAGAGGTGGCACCTGCAGGACTTGGGGGCAGGGTCCCGGTATTTAGCCTGTACTGGTCCCGAGTTTGTTGTCTCTTCAGGCTGGCCTCACATGAGGAGTCCTGTTTCAGCCTCCCCGGTGCTGGGCTTACAGGTGGGCGTCGCCCTAGCCATCTTTCCAGGTCCTGCCTAACAGCTACAGTCATACTTGATTTGTGGTTGGCAGTCGCCTTGTAACTATGGCTACGTGTGTGTGTGTGTGTGTGTGTGTGTGTGTGTGTGTGTGTGTGTGTGTGTGTGTGTGAAGAAGCAGCTGGAAAGAAATGCCTGTGAATGTTAACAGTAACTGTTGGAACCGAGTCACTGAAAGATTTTCACTTAGAAGGGAAAATAGGTGGGATGTTCTAGCCTTTCCTCATCATTCTCTTGTTTTGTTTTTTTTTTTTTTTTTTTTAAGAATACCCCCACTGGATTCCAGTTTAACAGGACAGAATAGGAAGTGGCTAGGGGCTTGTGCTGGGAACTCATCTTTCTTGGGTGCTTGGCATTGAATCCAACACTTGGAACTTGCTAAGCAACCCTGAGCTGCACCCTCAGCCCCTTCCCTACTTTCCTTGGTACTGAGCAGTGTAGGAGAACACTCTTGGTTTTGGATAGTCAAGCTGGAGCATTTAAAGAGCCATGCTTACTGTAATTACCCTGACACAATTCAGCAGAATGAAGCATTTGAAAGTGAGGACTTCCAGATGAGCAAAATCATCTTAACAAACGCCAGGAGCCAGGTGATGGGTCCGTAGTATAATCATTATAAGCAGTACCTGCATTGTGGCCGGGGCCTCACCCACGCTAGGCAAGTGCGTTACCACTGAGCTACACCCCCCCACCCCGCTCTCTTCGGTGTGTTTTTATATGTGTAAAATAAAAGCAAGCATCCACTCACTTAGCTTAGCTTGTATAGTTTTTCATTGGAAATGACTGGCTTTACATACGAAAGTACAGAAAGGTCTGAGGTTTGTTTGGCTTTGTCCATTAACTGTAGTGAGAGCAGCTGTAGAGCCATGGTTGATAGTTCATTCCTAGCAAGCAAGCCCTGTGATCCGTGCTTTCCAACTCACCATTTTCTCAGGTGGACTGATTGCTTTATCTAGGGTACACCTGGGACCACGGTTCTCTGGCCCTCACCTCTTCGCCTTTTCCAGTCTTCTTTCAGTGAGGTGGCGGGGTCCTTCCTGGTGGATTCGTGGTGGCTCCAGGCAAGCCACACAGTTGGGGTCTCTGACACACCAGGGAATGGATGGATGAGTGGAAAGTGCAGTGTCCACATTTGCTGCTGCTGGGGCAGCCCAGGAAGCTTCTGTCACTCTCCCCAGCTTGTTGCCCTGGGATGACTGGTACTCTGAGTAAACGCTGCCAGAGCCAGGGAGGATGTGGAGGGCCAAGCCTTGTTGCATTGTGAAGGCTATTTTATTTTTTATTCATTTATTTATTTGTTTGATTTTTCAAGATAAGGGTCTCTGTGTAACAGCCCAGGCTGTCCTGGAACTCACTATATATAGACCAGGCTGGTCTAGAACTCACAGAGATCCTCCTGCCTCATGAGTGCTGGGATTAAAGGTGTGCCCCACCACCTGGCTCTGAAGGCTATTTTAAAAGAGAGCCTGTGTGCCTCCAACAGTTTGTCTCCACACCGTGGGCTGGGGAAGTTAGAAAATTGAAGTTGTATGATGGTGTGAGTGTCCCAACTCTCTGCTGCCCTCCAGACTCTTCCTTCCTTTCTCATATTGGCCCTAGGAAGTCTCACTCAAGCAGATATGCAGCAATTGAAGGTTAGTTACTATCTCCTTAAAATAGATTGTGCGTTGCCATGTGGGTGCTGGGGACTGAACCTAGGTCCTATGGAAAAACAGCCAGTGCTCCTAAACACTGAACATCTCCACCCCCCGCCCCCTAAAATCCCAGCCGCCAGTACCACCAGGCTGGTGAATGGAGATGCTAGTGATGTGTTTGCATACAGTGTGGGTGGTAGCCAGGGAAATTAACACCCTCTGAGGAAGGACTGACTATGAAAAGCTTCTGCTCATAGGCTGATAACTAAGTGGGGCCTGCTGTGCCGGGAAAGAACCCAGCAGGCAGGCAGAGGGTAGGTGGGGGAGTTTGAGGGGGTGAGGCTTTACCTCAGCGAAGCAGGGGTGGATTTGTAGCCAGCAGAGGTGTTTAGACCTGCATGCACAGTGGAGAGGCATCTGGTGTGGCTGGATGTCCATGTGCTGAGTCATAAGTGTCTACCCAGAGCACACAAGGACCAGAGACTCCTCTGACCACTGACCCAGCTTCTTCACCTTTTGCAGGCCTGCTTCCTGGTGTCTAAGGGAGATGAGTGATGAGGCTTTACTATGCAGTAGCTTTAACAAATGCATACTGCTTGCTAGGAATGCTTGTTGCTATACATTGCTCACTGGAAAGAACCCTGCATCTACTGGGTCCATGGGCATAGACCTTAAGTCAACTCTTTCCCAGAGCCATCAGCTACGGGAGTTTAGATAATCCTCTACTAATGTCCTCCTCTCAAGGGAGAATATGGTGACACTCTTAAAGGACCCTTTGGGGTTACCAGTGTCCATGTGCCGTGGTCACCATTGCTTTTGGTGCAAACTCCCAGAATATTACTCCTATAGTACTCCCAGGAGACTCAGTTTTCCCTTACTGGCTACTGTTTTTTTTTTTTTTTTTGTTTTGTTTTGTTTTGTTTTGTTTTCCAGTTATACAGTGGTTAAGAGCATGCCTTCGAGCTAGGGTGCCAGGGTTGAATTCTCTCATTTTCCAGTTTTTGGCAGTCATATAGAGAGAATGTACATTTGGCTATAGATGAAATAATCTTACATTATTTGTTATCCCTCCCATCCCAGTGCTGGTGATGGACACAGGGCCTTGTGTGTGGTATGCAAGCATGCTGCCCTGAGCTGCATCCTCTGCCATGATACTACATTAAGGAAAACAGTGGTAAAATACAGAAGAAAACACATGCTGAGTTCCTACAGAATCTAAAACCTTGAAAGAAGACAGAAGCCGTAGCTGCTGCTGCTGTTTTCCAGAGCCCTGCACATACACACACTCGTGGTTTGTTATAGTCACAAGCATGTGTGTGTGTAATTCCCCTTTGATGTCAGGCTTCTGTGTGGCCCCACAGCTCCTGTAATGGTGGTGGCATGCCATCGTGTTGATGTTGCACACCGTTGTCAGTTAGCCATCTGCCGTTGATGCCGAAACTGCCCGTCTTTGGCTGCTGCAGGTGGGAGCAACACCAGGAGCTCCAGGACCAGAGCTGTGGATAAGTTTCCTTAGGATCAATTCCCAGCATCACATTCCCAAGATGGGAACATAGAATAACTTGAAGGATCTCGCCATGTTGTTTTCTCAAAGGGGAGGTGTCTGTCAACATCTCACAAATGAGACATAAATTCCCCAGTTGGCCTCAAGCACATTAGCATCCAGTGTCCCATCTGTCTTCAGATTTTCTCAGGAAACTTGAGCTGCACTTGAAGTGCCGCAGTGATGCATTATCTGAGGAAAGGAGAGCCAGGGCCACCAGCGTGTGAAGAAGCTGTTTGTTACAACATTCTCATCCCCACAGTCCTTTGCTTTGGGCTTTCCTTGGTTGCATTTAAGTGGCAAGTTTCAGTGAAAGAGGAACGAGGCTTTGTTTAAGGATGCCCATTTGTTGTCAATACTTTTTGTCTTCTGTCTCCCAGAGATTACTGATTATTAAAAATTGTTCTCTCGTGGGACATGTAGAATGAGCCAAGGAGTACTTGCATTGTTAGTGTCGGACTGACTGCTGGGTTTCAAGGCAAACAACCCAACTTGTCCTTTTTCCCCAGCTGCTCATAAGTGATGAGGCTCCAGCTCTGCCGCCACTAAAACAGAACAAGGTGTGTTCTATACATCAGTAATCCCATGCAGAAGGCTGAGGCCAGAGGATCTTGAGTTGAAGGCCAACCTGGGCTATGTATTGAGGCCTGGCCTATAATAAATACAGCCACAATAAATGGCTGTGGTGCTCTTAATTAGCTTGCTTGAGAGCAGTTGGGACCAATACATGTAGTAGCTCAGAATGTGAATAAATGTGATGGATGAGGAGGGGTCTAAGTGAGGGTCAAAGCCATGTGTGAATCAATTCAAGAAGGTTCGGGATGGAAGGAAAAGCTTTAAAAGCAGGTTACATGGCATCCTTTTGAAATCACACGTCTTGGGCTATAAGGGTAAAGATCTTCTAAAAGGGTTACCTAATTTTAACAGTGGAGGGATCAAGGTGGGGTGTGAAATCCTGCAGCTTGTATCTTCTGTCACCAGTGCCGGAACAGGGATGGACAGTGTATTCAGTACTGCCAGGAAACAGCACATTGTACGGCTTATTTCCTAGTTACATGGTACACTGTAAATATTTTACATGTAGAGTGTAATGCCTGTAAAATACAGTGGATAGCATGTGTCACATGCACCATATGTGATACAGCACGGTGGTGTGTATAGCAGTGAC